GTGCCTTCATTGTTTTAGATGAATACATATATTTTAAATACATCTGTCTATATGTCATTCAAAGTTTTAGGTCCTTTGTTGACTTCTGTGTAGATTATCTGTCCATTGATGTAAGTGGGGTTGTTTATGCCCCTATTGTTTTTGTTATTATCACCTTTATGTTTTACTATTGTTTTGTTTCAAATGGGTGCTCTCATCTTGAGGCATAAGCAAGCACAATTCTTAGATATCTTGTTGGAATGTCCCTTTATAATTATATAGTTCCCTATAGGTCTTTTCACATTCTTTTGTTTTTAGTTTCTCTGATTGTATCTAAAATCAGACAAGTACAGTGGTGGGCGGGTTTTCAAATAAGTTAATTGACCTCTGGTTATGGCTCAGATCATGATCTTATAGCATTGTAGAGAAGCCCCAGCATCAGGGTCTGTGCTGGCAGCATGGAGCCTGCTTGAAATTCTTCTCTGCCTCCCTCCTTCACTTGTGCTTTCTTTTCTCAATATATAAACAAATAAGAAAATAAAAAAATAACTAGAAAAAAACAGACAAGGACATTTCAAGAAAAACTATAAATAATTTCCTGATAAGTATAGATGCAAAAAAAAAAGAAAAGAAAAGAAAAGACGTATTCTATGTTTTAGGATGGAATGTTCTGAGTGTTTGTTTTAAGTCCATCTGGTCCATGTGTCATTCGAAGCCATCGTGTACATGTTGATTTTCTGTTTAAACGATCTGTTCATTGATATCAGTTGGTTGTTAATGCTCCTGTATATTGACTATATAAAATTAAAAGATTTTGTATGCGAACAATGAAATGAAAGAATGACCTACAAAATGGGAGAAAATATTTGCATACTATGTTATCTGGATAAAATGTTAATATCCAAAATATGTACAAAATTCATACAACTCAAAAGCAAAAAAACTAATTTGCAAAATAGACAGGGAATTTAATAGACTCCATTGCTAAATCAAATATTAACAAAATCAGTGAATTAAAATAATCATGTACCAAGGATCAAGGGACTCAGGATGCAAGGATGATTCAACATCATCAAACCAATCAGTGTGATACACCACAGTAACACAAGTGTAAATCATATGATTATTTAAAGTAGATGCAGAAAAACATCATAATTGACAAATCACATCCATTCATGATAAGAAGTCATTATATTTGTATAGAAGGAAGAAAATTCCTCAGGTAATGGGAAAAGGCTACATATTACAAGGCTTCAGCTAACATCATTCACCACTCTCATCATCACTTTCATTCACCCGACAATCTTTGCCACAAATTAGTAAAGGAAGGTATTTAAATCTGAAAAGGAAACAAACTACTCATTTGCACAACATGACATTATTATAGAAAACTTTAAAGATATTATACAAATATTAGTAGAACTAATACTAAATTCAGTGTAATGCAGCACACAATATGTGAAGTTTTAGTGTGTTTCTATACCATAACAATCACCTGTCAGAGATAGGAAATTAATAAAAAACAATTTCACAATTGCATCGTAACAAGAATAAAATATCTAGAACAAATTTAACCAAGGACCTGAAAGATTTCCGAATGAAATTGCCACATTGATATAAGAAGTTAAATCAAACACGAAGTATTCTGTATTCACAGTGGATTGTAAGTATTATTATTGTTAAATGTCACACCAAAACAATCTAGTAGTTTTAAGGCAATTATTTTGAATACTAATGTTTCCTTTCTGATAGCTTCTGGGATTTTGAGATGCTGGCCATTTTTATAACTGATATTGAGGGGAAAAGATTCTACTTTTTACAGCCGTCCCAAATGCTCATCAGAAACACAAAATTTTACATGTACAAAATTATTTGGGCATTTATTCATAGCAAGTTTAAGTAAACTAGAAATAATCTCTTTATAAGAAGTTGGTTAATAACTAGATATATCAATAGCCTTGATATATGTATAGGACTTCCATATTATATAGTAAAAATATATATTTTAAGAAATTGTATTGACTGGCATATCTTGACATGTTGGGGGAAATGTAACAACATAAAAGTAATTTGTTTAATTCCAGTAATGAACTAACGCCAGAATTTATGTTACCATGTTTAGAGGAATTAGTCTCCTTCAAACCATAAAATATATTTTAATTAAATTCCATTAAATAATTTGTCAGTAGAGTTGTAGGCTCAGTGTTATTGTTAACAATTTTCCCTCAATATCACCGTTATAAAATGGCCAGGCATCTCCAAACAAACCTAGAAATCATCTTTATCAAAGGAAACATACTAATATTAATTGGTGCAAATTAAATCATACAATTCTGATTTGTGTTGTAATGTAATAATTCGCACTCAACAGAACTAACGACAGTGTTAGGTTGTTCCTTTGGTTTGTGTTTACTGAACCGCAGAGTCATTCTACCCATCATGGATCTGACAAGAATTCTCAATAGTCACGAATTTATTTCACCAGCATTTACAAAGCAAGAAAAAATGATTAGTAAAGCGGAAGATGAAGCTGGAACATACCTGGAAAAAGGCCCAAGCCACGGGCGCTAATCAAGGACAAGGGCATATTTTCCATCTGAACCCTGGGAACACTGATTTGAGCAGGATTTCTAAACATCGCACCAATGGTGAAAATACGAGAACTATCGTGTATATAAACCACAATTTCATCTCATCAAAGTTGATGGACATTTAGTTTTCCATAATTTGGCTATTGTTGAAAGAATGAATATGGGTCTTAGGTAACGTGGACGAACTGAGAGTGCTATATGCTGGCGAACAGTTTATTAAGAAAGATAGATACCATATGTTTCACTCCATGTGGATCCGAGAAATCCTAACAGAAACCCATGGGGAGGGGAAGGGAAAGAGAGAGGTTAGAGGGGGGGAGAACCAAAGCATAAGAGACTCTTAAAAAATGAGAAAACAAACGGAGGGCTGATAGGGGGGGTGGGAGGAGAGGGGAGGGTGGTGAGCAGGCTGAAGAGGGCGGGCCTTTTGGGATGAGCACTGGGTGTTGTATGGAAACCAATTTGACCATAAATTTCATATATTAAAAAAAAAACAATGGAGAACACAGGGTTTGGCTTATCCTTATGTGACCTAAGGAGACATTAGTGTCGGTTCTACCCTTACTTAGCTCTAAGTCTCTAAGTCTAGAATGAACTGAAGGAAGGAGAGGGAGAAAGACAGTACACAATATCTCTACTATGACAAAATCAGAATGACAGGTGATAGGGGTGCAACTCTGATTGGTAATATTGTAATTTGTAAGAAGTGCTCAGTTCCTAGATATACTTTTCGAAAAGTGAGAAAATTATTGTTAAGTTATTTAATATGGCTGAAAGAGAGAGCACACGAATCCAAATTACACCAAGTAACTCCCAGAACTACTGGAAGAATACAGTGAACATAAAGCAAAAAAAAATTGAGTTCAACATCAGGAAAGCCTAAAATTTTAAATTAAATAATAGTAAATTGAATATATAATGATCAAAAGATGTTATATATTTCCAAATAAACATGAAAACTCAGTATTTTGCTTAAATATTCTCTCCCCAAATCTGGTTTAAAAATGCTCCAGAAATAATGCTTTTTAAGTTATTACATTAAAATGACAGAGAAGTGAAAGAATATATATATATATTGTTCTATAATATAATATAATATATTATATTTATAAGTATAATATATCATAATATTATATTATATTATTATATAATTATAATATATCATAATATATTAATATTATACATTATATACATACATAACATAAATATATATATATATATATATCCTAGATAGAAAGATAGATAGATATAGATTAAAATAAAGCATTGTTATACATGTTATACACACATACACATATAAATGTATAACAAGCTTAAGCCATCTTTCATCCACTTGAGGGAGGTTGAATAGGCAAGGGTAACACTTGGGCTCAGATTTAGTGGTCCTTATTTCTATACCAAGATTATCACAAAAAATGTAGAAGTATTATGTTTTTTGTAAGTAGTAGGGTTATCTGAGTGGGAAGAGAGGTAGATTTTAAAGTAGTTTGAGAGGAATTCATAATTGAGTAGATGTAAGAAAAAATAAATTTATTTTTGAACAGAAAAAGAAAAGACCAAAAAAAGAAAAAAAAGTAGAAATAAAGAAAAAAATAAAAATGATACAAATACAATAAATAACAGGAATGAAAAAAATGATTGAGGAATGAGAAAAGAACAAAAGAAGAAAAGAAAAAAAAAGAGATTTAAGAGATGTGTTCAATATCATTTCAATGTTGGGTAATTTTAAATTTATTTATAACAAAATAAAGTGTTCCTATTGAAATTCTGTTTTGAACCAGGTCTTTCAGATGAATGCTGTCATCATCATCTTTAGATATTCTTAATTCTTGAATGAACAGTAACCACAGCAATTTTACTACTCCTTTGATGGATTTCCTCTGATACCCACCAAAAAATATTTAACTAACATAACCAAAAAGATTCTCTAAGTTCAAATTTTAAGATTTATGCAAATAACTTAAGAAAACAAAAAAGAATTTTTTCAAAGCTCAACGAGTACAAACTTGCCATTTATTAAGTAAACCTGGATACTTACGAATAATTTAAAAAATATGAAACCTCATTTTTACTTTAAATATGAACTATATTCCTAGAATAAAAGTAAAAGGTGCCATATTTTGTGACTACCCTGAAAAGATTATGTGATCATAATGCACTTATGAATACTATGATAAATACAAATCATTTAGAATGTTACCCTAGTAAAATACTGTGATATACAATCAAAACAGGAAAGAACCATTTAATTAAAATATTTCAACACCCTAGACCATTACATAAGAGAGTTAAATTTTACCCTGGTACCCTGTTAAGCAACAAATTACAGAGGTTTTTTTTTTGGACCTGCAAAGGGAAATGGAGGCATCTCTTTGGAAATAATTATTGTCAATAAAATTATTCATTTTAATAAATTTTACATATTTAAATTTAAAAAGGTATCCTGAACAGTTTCCCAGATATCAGTTTGCCCAAGGCCATTTGCACATCCCAGTTTCTGAGGCTGTAGATGATAGGATTCATGATGGGGGGTAACACAGTGTAAAGCACTGATATCAACACTTTCACTGAAGATGAAGATTTAAAATTTTTAGCTAAATATGTGATGCTTCCAGAAAGGATAAACAGTGTCACCACGGTGAGGTGGGACAGGCAGGTGGAAAGACATTTCACTCTCCCATTTGCAGATGGGATTCTTAGAACGGTAGAAAAAATGTGAACATAGGATACAATCAATAAAATAAAACATATAAACCCAAAACAACAACTACAAATTATAAATGCATATTCTAGAGTTTTCTGTCCAGAACAAACAAGTGTGAGCAGTGATGGGACATCACAAAAGAATTGGTGCACTATGTTGGAACCACAGAAACGAACAGAAAATGTTCCTGCAGCATGAATGGATCCATAGACACACCCACTAAACCATGATGCTGTCACCATCTGCACACAGGCACCTCTATTCATGATGGTCTCATAGTGCAGAGGACAGCAGATGGCAGCATAGCGGTCATAGGACATCACTAGGAGAAGGGCATATTCTGTGCCAGCAAGAAAAATAACAAGGAAAACTTGTGAGGCACATCCTATGAAAGAGATGGAATGGCTGTTGGTCAAAGGGTTCATGACAGATTTGGGGACAGTGACAGAAATGTAACAGATATCAAAGACAAATTCTTTAGGAAAAAAAACATGGGGGATTGAAGATGCTGGTCAATGGTGGTGAGGGTGAAAATGAGGAGGTTCCCCATTAGTGCTGCTAGGTAAACCAGGAAGAGGAATGCAGCATAAAGTCTCTGTAGCACCTGATCATCAGGGAATCCCATGAGCAAGAATCTTATTATGTTTGTCATGGTGGCTTATTTCTCAGCCACGCTAATTCTTATCTGCAGAAATAAAGATGACACTGATAACTAGTCCTTTCAGATATTGTCATATCATCTTTACTTGACCTTTGGCAATGTTTGGTTCTGAATGAGGTGTAGCTCATCAGAATACCAGCATAGAGATACACAGCATACAGCAATAGCCCCATACCATCCATATTGAGATATTTACACAGAGGTCAATGAGCACATAGCCCCCTACCATCCATATTGAGATATTTACTCAGAGGTCAATGAATTATGGTTGGCTTTAAGGACAATTTAAAGAGGCAGAAAATCCAGTAAAGTTCCGACTGTTGGTTAGAACAAATATATATATATATATATATATATATATAGCCTTAGGAGTCTAACAGAGAGTCATAAATCCTTTCAGACAAATCTAAGAAGTAGCTAACATACTTCACAGGTGCAGCTGAAAAAAACAAAAATAAAGTTACCTTCTATGATGACTCCTTCTAGAGATCATTGGCCAAATACTGCTCTTGACCAAAAAATAAATAAAATAAAAATATAGGGGTGTCTGGATGACTCAGTCTGTTAGGCGTCCAACTTCAGCTCAGGTCATGATCTCATGGTTCATGTGTTGGAGCCCTGTACTGGGCTCTGCGCTGACAGCTCAGAACCTGGAGCCTGCTGTGGCTTCTATGTCTCCCTCACTTTCTACCCTTCCCTCGCTCATGCTCTGTCTCGCTATGTCTCTCAAAAATAAATGAACATTGAAAGAAATTTAAGTAAAAAAATAAAAATATAAATGTTTGTGTTTGTCAAATGAGATTAGGCAGGCAGAAGGCAGAATAGAAGAGAAGCAAACTGGGTTGTTAATTTTTCTACTAGATATTAACATGAATGATAAAAATAGAAAATGCCCAAATTGTCACATCCTGAATATTCATGATAAATCAATTCCCATAATAAGTTATTTACTCAGTCCCTATAACATAACACCACAACGGTGTCTTGACTATGACCATAAAATTAGTCTTTCAATAATCACTTAATAATGAGTCAAGGCTACTTCTGTAATCTGTTGTCTCCTTGATTCTAACTTTCATTTAAACAAAACATAGGTGGTCTAGGTATACAGAGACAACAAGTTCGATAATTGGAACATTTTCCATTCCCCTTAGTTCTTGAAACAGAATGGTGAACAATGTCATCACCAATTATTACAGGTGATATACATAGCAACGTTAAAATTCCTTCTTCCTGAGGACACAGGAAAAAAAAAAAAAACCTTGAGCAAATTTACCCCTAAAAGTATGTGCGTTTTTCTTTCTTACCATTCATTAAATGTAACAGTTCAGTATAAAGTGAGAAGAGCCAAGTAAGTACTTTGATATGTGGCACATATTTCTGTTCCATCCCTTAATTCTGTGTTCTCATATGTGTGAAAGAAATATTTTGTCTTAAGTATCTTCTCTGAGAAGATACTTTCATTCATAATAGCTGCTTTTTCCACAATCAGCCATGCTTGATTATCTCTACAATTCATGTGTAATTTCTGAGTTGCAAGCTTTATTTCAGTCTCCAACATTGTTCAAGTTTAATAATCTTATGGCTTTCACATGAGATTGTAGTTGCATAAATGGAATGGGAATTAATTAGAAGAAATTACCAAGTTTTTGACTGTAGTGAGCATCCCGTGAGGAACCAGAAGGCAACCTTAAAACCCAGACCTATGACAACTCAGAAAGACAATTTATTTGCTTCTTGCAATTTTCCATGCTAAGCATATTACAACAAGTCTACAAATAGTTTCAGGATGTGCCTTTCTATATATTGATGTGTTATGAAATGAAGATTTTAATGGAAAGAGAACATTTGAATTCAAGAATTGAAATTTTGATTGAGGACCATACATTAAGTCATGGATGCTATTTTGCTTTATTTCCTTCCAGTTCTATGTTTTGGTTTTTGTTTGTTTGTTTGTTTGTTTTTTGTTTTTCATTTTTAACACGGATATACATGCAAATGTTATCCATGTAAAATACCAAGCAATGTAGGAAACCATAATTAAAGTGAAACTTATCTCACTCCCACTTGTCTTCCCAGGGACCATAGGAGGTGCAAGATTTGGAATGTGAATCCAATACACATCCTGTGACTTTGGATACATAATCATAAAAATGCAACATCTGATATTCACCATGCATGATTTAGAAACTTACATTTTACACACAACAATATTTCACATGGCTTCCTGTTTTATGTAATAGCATACTATTAAATATTATGGATATTCAATATTTTGGCAAGTTTATTTTCACCATCATATGTAACCTTATGATTAACATCATTTTATATACTTTGCCTGTGGATGTACGTACATGATTCTTTGACTAAGTCTCTTGAAAGGTAATTAGTATATATACAATATGGTCATATCAATTTTTAATAGATTCTACTAAACTGTTTCTTAAAATGTGTTTAAGTGTCTATTCTTACCACATGTTCAAGCATTTTGCATTAAACAGTAGATCAGACTATTTCACGTTTTATTTATATTTATGCATTAATTTTTTTAGAGAAGGAATGAGAGAGCATGCAAGTTTGGGAGAGGGGCAGAGGGACGGAGGGAGAGAATTCCAAGCAGGTTCCATGCTCACTGCAGAGCCCAATGCAAGACTCAATCCCATGACTTTGGGATCATGACTTGAGGAGAAATCAAGATCCAGACACTCAACTGACTGAGCCACCCAGGGGCACACAGACTATGTAATATTTTAATTACCATTTTTTAAAAAATGTTTATTTATTTTTGACAGAGAGAGAGAGAGAGAGACAGAGCATTAGTGGGGGAGGGGCAGAGAGAGAGGGAGACAAAGAATCCTAAGCAGACTCCATGCTCTGAGCTGTCAGCACAGAGCCCAATGTGGGGCTCAAACTCACAGACCGTGAGATCATGACCTGAGCCGAAGTCAGATGCTCAACCCACTGAGCCACCCAGGCACACTTTAATTACCATTTTCAATTTGTTAATATACATAAACAAAAATTTACTGTTTTAACCATTTTTAATATACAGGTAAGTGGCATTAAGTAAATTTACTATGTTGTGCAACAATCACTACCCCCCACCTCTAGAACTTTCATATTCCTCAACTAAAACTGCATGCCCATTAAAAATAATAACTACCATGGGGTTTTTGATTTGCATTTCCTGATGATTAGTAATGTTGAGTAAATCTTTATGTATCTGTTGTCCATCAATACTACTTCTTGGCCTAATGTCTATTCACAGATTTTGTCCATTGAAAAAACAATAATGTTAATTTATTCTTGAGAGAAGGAGAGAGACAGAGAGAGAGAGAGAGAGAGAGACAGGGACAGAGACAGAGACAGAGCATGAGCGAGGGAGGGGCAGAGAGGGAGACACAGAATTCAAAGAAGTCTCCAGACTCTGAGCTGTCAACACACAGCCAACATGGGCCTCAAACTCACAGACCACAAGATCATGACCTGAGCTGAAGTTGGATGTCCAACCAACTGAGACACCCAGGTGCCCCTATTCTGTCCAATTTTTAATTGGATTCTTGGTGTTGAGTTATTTAAGTTCTCCTTATATTTTGGATCATTTTCCTTAATGGATATGATTCTGCCATTTGCAACAACATGGATGGACCTAGCAGGTGTTGTTCTAAATGAAGTAAGTTAGACTGATAAAAACAAATACCATATAATTTAACTCATATATAGATCTAAATAAATAAATAAATAAATAAGAACGCAAACAAACAAACAAAAAGAAGAATCAGATCTATAATACAGAGAACAAACTAATGGTTGCCAGAGGGGATGTGAAGAGGGGAATGGGAAAAAATAGTTAAGGGGAATGGGAGATACAGGCTTCCAGTTATGAAATGAATAGGTCATAGGAATAAATATAATATAAATAAATAAAAATAGGTCATAGGAAAAAAATAGGTCATAGGAATAAAAGGAATAAAAGGCACAACATGGGAAATAAGTCAATGATATTGTAATAGATTTGTATGGTGGCAGATGGTAGCTGCACTTGTGGTGAGCATAGCATAACTTACAAACTTGTAAAATCACTATGTTGTATACCTGAAACTAAAGTAATATTGTGTATCAAGTATATTAAAATAAAAATAATAAAATAAATACCTTCCCATTAACTCTTTCTCCACATATGACAACTACTGTTGCACTTTCTGTCTCTAAGAATTTGATTATTCTAAGTACCTCATATAAGCAAATCATACATTGTTCGTACTTTATTTCATTATAATGAAATAATGACAAAAACTTGTGGTTTTGTGTTGTATTTCTCTAATAATTAAATAACTTACTATGTGCTTATAGGTCATCAGTATATCCTCTTTATGGAAATTTCTATACAAGTCTTTTGCCCATGTTTTAATGAGATTGTTTTTATTTTTGTTTTTCAGCTGTAGGAGTAATATATGTGTTCTGATATCAATCCTTATCAGAAATATAATTTGTACATAGTTGATAATATTGTTCATTGCAAAAAAAATATATATATATATATTATTTCTATGAAGTCCTACTTGTCTAGTCTTTATTTTGCTGCCTGTGCTTTGTCATAACCAAGAAATCATTTCCAAATCAGTTGTCATGAAACTATACCTATGTCTTCTTCTAAGAGTTTTATAACTTAAGTTTTATTTTTAGCTATTTTATGTTTTTGCTTTCATTTTACATTATTTTTTGAGGTTAGTGTAAGGTTGCGATCTAAAATATTATTTTGCATATAGGTATTTATTTTGCAGATTTAGTTAGCCAAAGATGCTCTCATTTACCTTCTAGAAGCTATGTTTTTGTGACCAGTCAAGACACACCAAAATTACCCAAATTGCATGCAGTGTATACATTATATTTAGACTCACTATCTTTTCTTTCTTTCTTTCTTTCTTTCTTTCTTTCTTTCTTTCTTTCTTTTCTTCCTTTTTTTTATCAGCTGTAGCTGGATTTTCTTA